TTTTTAGCAATCCATTATAAAGTGAGGATAAAGTTTCGATTGGCCAAGTCCTAAATCACCAACTAGTGGGCAAATGCTTGAAAAATAGCTATAGTCTTTCATCATTAAAAATCGAAATCAAGTCGAGTTTTGTATGCAATGCGGCTTGCCTCGAGCGGGACGGGGTAGGGTGATCTTTAATCTTCCTTACATAATAAACCCCTTATCCGGAACTACGAACGGACCGGTCATAAGGTTTTTTTAGTAATCATAATACTAGGTGGTGACTCCAATCATTTTCCTATATTAACCTCACCGTCGACGTCGCCTCGCGACATCCAAGATGAACAATTTGAAGGTAATTTTGACAATCAAAGTGACCGAAATAGGCTTCACCATCCCTCTTCCTCTTTCTCTTTCTTTGTTTCTCTCTCTTCTTCGCATCCAAGAACCGGAATAAAATAGTTTCTCTCTCTTCTTCATATCCAAGGATTAGAATAAAATAAAAATGAAGTTACGGATCGAAACATAAATTTTTTAATGATAAAGAACCAAAGTCAATCTTTTTGGCCAAACAATAGAAATATGCGAGTGCAAATGAATCTAAATCTACGGTTTAAATGAGTGTTCGTCTATAGTAAAGCTTATAGAAAACATGCAATAATTCATCATTTTCTTTTAGTATCTTTTATATATATATATATATATATATATATATATATATATAATAATGAAAGAGTTAGTGAATAGTAAAAATAAATTACTATATATTTTACCTTTTATCTATTTAGAAAACATTGTGAATTTTACTCGATTTTACTTTGCATTTATTATGTTGTAGTAGTTTTGTGATTTCCAAACTATTTTCAAATATCATATGCAAGTTTGTTCAAATACTACATTTGGGTTCTTATTTTTTTCAAACATTTTGGTTCGATTTCAAACTTCATTTGTATTGTGGTTTGGTTCCTAGATGTAGAGATGAAGGAGAAATAAAGAAAGAGAAAGAAAGAGAGAGAAACTCATAGTGAGGCTCATTCTAGCTATATTGGCTTTCGATCTTACCTTCAATCTGTTTGTCTTAGAGATGATAATTTGTTTATGATGATTACAAATCATGAAATGGTTGGATAAAATATATTGAAATCTCAAAATACAATGAGTTTTTGAGTTTGTTTTAGATTTTTATGTCTTTAATGTGTATTAAAATGAGTTTTAAAATTTTAAACAACTTTATTAACCTCATTTATATGATTTTGAGATGTTTTGATACAAAAATGATGCTAAAATTGGATTGAAGAGGCAAAAAACTAAAAATCCTAATTTTCAACTATTTTTAGCAAATTGAAGTTCGTGGGAGTCTACGATCTACAAGACGTCATCTTTTGCCCAGGGATCGAGTGACGTGTCGTCTATTTTTCTTTTCTTTTCTTTTTTAGGCTAGCTTGCACACGAACTTATTCTAACATACTGTTTTTAACTTTTAGAAATAAATGCCAATGCTCCAAGGAAAAAGCACAATATAGATATGTGCAATAAAATTGACTTCCACAGCTTAAGTGTCCCAACTGCCAGCTACTTGGTTTCAAAATGAATGCGATTACAATTTAGGACCAGCACTGCCATTTCCTTTTATCCCACTGCTTGCCCCCGTCAACCCATCACTTATTAACCAAACTGCTGTTGTTTAATTTTACTTTATTAAATTAGACAAAGGAAATGCATGTATGTATATCAATGAACCTTATCATTCATTAATCTCCGTGATTTTTTATATCGTTTTCTTGTCCAACTTATTTACAACGAATGAAAATAATTAGTCAATATCACGAGCATCAAGCTAGGGAAACTTTTGTGACAATTCAAACTTAGAATAAGTTCTTTTGGTTTTTTTCCTCACCAATTACCTATTTTTAATCATAGCAAAAATATTCTAGTGTCTAGATTTCATAATGGCAGGGACGTTTTCCATACGCGAATAATCCACATGAGACCAGATCCAATAAAATGGTTCCAAAGGGTACACCACGCTTTACTTTTGGGAAGATAAAATGGTTCTTCAAGGTTGAAAGTTCCATAATTTTAATTTAATATATTTTGATAGATTTTTAGTATCATATTGATTATCAAGTTAAAATAATTTTTTAATTTTGCAACAAACATAGGTAAGAAATCAGTATCATCTAAATTTTGAAGACTAATTGTGTAAAATTGGAGAAAAAGACGTGCATTGCCGAAAAAATGTAAATTCATTGATTAAGAAATTTGATTGTGGGTTTTGATGGTTTGAGGTTGAATGTGACAAAAATAACATAGAAGAAGGATGAAAAATATCGTTAAATAAACCTCTGGTAGGGTATTTCCTTTTTGTTTGTACTCTATTATTTCGGTAATGGTAGCTGCAGTCGCAAGCTGGGCTCCACCAAATAAAGCAGCGTGTTCAACATTCAGGAGGCCAGGTCGCGACGCTCTCGCTCGTGATTGCAGAGGCCAATCAGCGGGAACCACTCCTTGTCTATACTGTACCTAATGATTCTAATGATAGTGACAATAATAATGAAAATACTTCTAATCACTTTCAATCAATTTATTTTTGGAATGGATAAACACAACGTTCTCCAATTTAAAGGTTTTAGGTGGCTTGAAAAATTAGCTAAAGAATTATGATTGGCAGTTTTATATATATATATATATATAATTGAGTCCATGATTAATGATTTTGCATTGTCATCGTGGTGCTACAGTGACAGACTTGTGTTGCTTTCTATAGTTTCTCTGATTCTCCTTCTACAGAAAAGGAAAATAGGAACTGTGTGTCTCGTCATTTCTAAACAGAGGATTTTATATATATATATATATATATATATATATATATTGTTATTGATTTTATCGCACGGCTAAAAAAAAAAAAGCTTAGCTTTTTAATATGTAAAATCTGATCTAGCTTAGTAATAAAAAAGAAAAAAATTGCTTAAAATATTTTTATTGTAGCTTTCAATTGAAAGGTTGAAACTTTTTTCTTCCTTTTCTATCTTGAAATCAATTATAAATTACCTTTTTATAAACATCACGGAAGTCTCATATATGTATACGATGAAGAATAAAAAGTCTATTTTACCACCAACTCATCAAAACTAAGTCCATTTTATTATAAGTTCAGCAGTTGTTTTACTGGAATTCAAATTTGTGCCCCAGAAACTCTCTTTGTTTTTCTTTTTTACGGATGTAAATTAGCTAATTTAGGTCATCACTGAAAGATAATTACTTTCTGTAATTAGCAAAACTAGTTAATTAATTATCGTAATTTCTGATATTATATATATAATCTTAATCCATTTATAAATTAATCTTTTCATCCGCCACCTCTTATAATCGGATCAATTTACAACATTTGACTGCAATAAAAGGCATTTCTTGGAACAAAAATCAAACTCAAGAAGATCATTTAGTTAATTTTTATATTATAAGAACTAATTAAACAGGGTCAATAAACTGAAAGGGTCTAAGTTACAATTAACTATAATTGAAAAAACATTTGTAGTATTTGTAGGCTTTTGTAGCCTATACATCTTGATTAATTCCTTGGAATTTTTAAGATCAGCCACGTGTCCCACCGCGTCATAGATATACCCTTATTGGAACCCATATGTCATCACTTTCGGGGCCCAGAGGAAGCGAAAAGCCATACACCGTCCATCACCAACATCTAAACTTTTTCATGATGCACATTATGTTGACATCTGTCATCCCATCCGCCCCCCGTGATCATCATCGCTATTATGCACATTATCTATGTCGGACTATTCATTCATTATTTCACCGAACAGTGTCTGAAAAGATAGAACTTTCAGCGACAGCAGATAATTACAATGGCATGGAATTTCAGAAACCCAGCCCCCTAACGTTAGAAGAACAATTGCAAGCCTTTCCCCATATGAAACGTTTGATTACGCATCTCTTCGACTCATAAATTCCAGTAAAAAAATTGAAATAACGAGTCGACTTCTTATATTGACAAAGAGATGGCGAGTTCCAATCATTCCTCAATTTAGTAATCATCAATTCTACCGTGATAATACAACTCCGCCAATCCAATTACTGCTTGCCGCGGAACAATACTAGCCTTCTAAATTATCCAATTACAAGCTATATGCATATAATGTTAACAATTTTTCCTTGATATCAAGATTCCCTTGAATGATTTGCTATTAATTAATAGAAATCAATATATGAGATTCCATTTCTACACCTAACTAAATGCAAATCGCAATAACACCTACTGTGGCCATTGGTGCCATAGAAAACACCAAAACTGAAAAATCAGAACAGTGAAAACGGACGATGAGATACAATAATACCTTTTTAAAGAATAAGAAAAAGTCATGGGCACCGTCACTGAATAACTGCTTTGATAAAAAAATCAGAACAGTAATAACTGATCAGGTCAGCTAACCATGGCAGCAAAGCAGTTTATTTAACAAAAATTAAGAAAAAAAGTCATGGGCGCTGTGACTGAGTACCTGATACCATCAGACTACCCTACTTTCCAGCTGGCTTTCCCAACCCCAGCTCGAGGTAAGTACTTACTGCCATAACGGTCCTCTTGTCCAGCTGGATTCCAATCACACACTTGAAGCGCACTCTTAACATATTTCACCGCTACAACACTAACGTACGCCTTCACTAAGCATCATACTAATCCACAATTATGTTTCTATCTATATTTCTCTCTAAAAAATAATATCCCTAGTTATGCTTCAATAAAAGCAATCAAACAAGCACCATACACAGAGGAGAGGCCCTCTTGCCGAATAGATATAAATAAATATCATTGTTTTAAAAAAAATTCACAGGGAATGGAATTCAATGTGCACATGCGAAAAAAATTCTATATATATATAACGCAAGTGCAAGTAGAGGTCCGCACGTTCGATGTCACGGCGAGAGATAGACAAGGCAAAGAGCTTCCAAGAGACAGACAGCAGAGCAGAGGTAGAAGAGAAAGAACCAGAAAATGCGGCTTAGAAATTGGCGAATTTTCGGTGAGAGCGAGATTTAAGGGAGGCGCGTTTGTCGGCAGCAATCTCTTGCAAGTTCCTGAAACTGCGAATCGCCAAGACATCGCCTCTTCGGACTTTATCATCTAGTCCACCAATAGTCTCAGTCGCTTCTTCTACAATTACAACTCAGAAAATATAAAGATAAAATACCAAAAAAAAGATAAAAGAATAAATTGTTTGAAACTGCATTATACCTATATGGTTAGAGAATCGCTTGAATCCATTAAACTGAGCCAAATCTGCAACAAACAAGGAAAGATTTAAAAAAAAAAAAAACAAACCAGCAATTAAAAAAAATAAAATTAAGAGAGTTAATGGTTTTGATTTATCAGTACCTGATTGAGAGGGGTTATGCGAGACAAGGAAGAGGACAAGGAAACAAAAGAGGGTGAGGAGAGGAATAAGGTGAATGAGTTTCTCTGGGTTTGAAGATGGAGATGAAAGTACTGACAATGAAGAAGAAGAAGGTGAGGAGAATCGGCGTGGTATTGTTGATTTGTGATCTAAGTCGTCGGGGTCAGGTGTGAGTGAAGTAGAAGGTAGGTCTTTGAATACTAGTTTAGTGTCGTTTGTTAAAAGAGTGTCGGTTCCTCCATGATTGTGGAGCTTGGTTCCTGGAGAACCTAGAGACTGTCTTTGCATTGCCCAGGGACGGAGAGAGGATAGAATAGAGAGAGAGAAGGGTTGCTTTGCTTTGATTGATCGTTTAGTGAGGTGTAATTGTTACGCTCTGGGTTATTAATAGGCGAGTTGTTTCGGGTGCTTTTGTTTACTTGCCCGTTAATCTTCTATGCTAATAATTGCCCTTTTCTACATGATCAAAATGTGAAGATTGGAAAAGGTCTCCCGATAGGGATTGAGCTTTTTGTTTTTTTTTTTCAAATAGCAAGTAGGGTCATGGATCAGTAAATTATAAATTACTCCCTTTTGTTTTAAAAAAATAAATTAATTAGTATCTCTTATTACAAAATCTAATTATCTAATTTTTTATTGACAGTTAATTTAATATTTTTTATTTTATAAAATATTTTTTTTTCAAAATTTACTTATTTTTTTATTTTTTAAATGAAAAAATTAAAATAAATGAAAAAAATTAAAAAATTAAAAAATAGTTTTGAAATCAAAATAACTAATTAATTCATTTTTCGAATTAAGAGGGACTAATTTATAATTTACTCGGTCATGGGTGGGTGTTAAATCCTTACTCTTTGTTAATGCTGCGTATGGGCTCTACTTTACGTTTTTGCTATGGGAAAAAATGAATGGAAGTTTGGGAAAAGTTTAGTTGACATCATATTGTCAATAAACAGTATTGACAGCACAACGGTAGGATTATAATCATAAAGAAAATTCCGTTTGAGAAAAAGTGGCTTCACGCGTTAATGAGGAAAATAAAAGGGAGTGGGTATTTGAAGGTGCGTTAAAAATCTAACTATTACTTAAAATGGTCCGTTGATCTTGTCTTGAATAATACGAACCGTTAGATTTGAAAGAGAAAAAAAAAAGAAACAGAAAAGTGAGAATGAGAGGGAGAAAAGCAGCGATGAAAAGTCATATCAATTCAGCCCACTAGTCATAACTAACCACGAACCCGTAGGCAAATAAAACAAATTCATCACTAGAATAAAAAGCTAAATGAGTTTAAAAAAATTAATTACATTTTTTGTACATCAAATTGTTAATTTTTTTTTTTACATGAATGTTTGCTATTTTTAGTGTACCAGCTAAATGAGTTTGACAGAATGATCTTATTATAATATACGAAATTTAAACCTCTGGACAAAGAGGAAACATATATGCACTACTACAAGAAATTTGTTAAATCACATATTGTAGCGACGAAATATAAATCATAGTTAAATAATAATTAAATAATATCATATTAGCTTATAGAGATAGATTTACAACTAATTATCTGCAACGGAGTAATTTTCGTCACTAAATATGGAGTCAAAAACTACTTAGGATTTTTAACAATGAATTAGTTATAGAAAATAACGATGGATTATTAATTTCGTCACTAAATTTTTTTTGACATTTAAAGACACTAATCTGTCACTAAACGATCGCTATTTAGTGATAGGAATATTCCCATGGCTAATAGTGAAAATTTGGATGGCTTTTGGAAATTCAAAAGCGTGCCAAATGTGGCTATTTATCAATAAATTAGTGATGAGTTCGTTCCTACTGATCTAGATTTCTTTAAATCTAACATATTCCCCTCCCTTTATATTTTCCCCCATTTCATTCCCACTCTTTCTCCCTAAGGTTGCTACCACTCTCCCAACCTCTCCAATCCTCCATAAAACTCTTCTAATCTACTCCTCATCAATCCACAAACCTCTTCAAATCCGTTTCTCTCAAAAACCCAGTATTTTCATCCTTTATTTCAATCAATTTTACCCAAATTAGGTTAGTTTTTAATCTTTTTTACTTTATTAATTAATGTTAGTATTTTTTTTGTAATTTTTATGTTAATTTTAAGTATAATGCTTGATTTATAATTGTGTATATGTTCAATTATTAGTTTGTTGATTTTTTTTTTTGTTAATTTGTTAGTTTAATTTTTTAATTAATTTGTTAAATTTTGTTAATTGCTAGGTTAATTTTTTAATTAAGTGTAATTTAAATTTATTCAGAATTAATTTATAATTAATTAACATTATTTTATTAATGTTTAGTTAATTAAATATAAATTTTTATTAATTAAGTTAATTTAATTTTTATTTTGAATTTAATTTGATTAGAATTAAAATTAATTAAGTTAATTTGAATTATGTTAAGTTAATTAATTAATTATGTTAAATTTTTTAATTGGTTGGATTAGAATAAATTTTTTTATTGATTTTAATTTTATTAATTAAATGTAAAATTATTGTCAATTAAGTTAATTTAATTATTATTTTGAATTTAATTAATGTAATTGTTATTTTGAATTTGATTTGGTTAGAATTAGAATTAATTTAGTTAATTTGAATTATGTTTAGTTAATTAATTATGTTTAATTTGTTTAATTGGTTGGATTAGAATAAATTTTTCAATTAATTGAAATTTTATTAATTCAATGTAAAATTATTATTAATTAAGTTAATTTAATTTTTATTTTAATTTTAATTTGGTTAGAATTAGAATTAATTAAGTTAATGTGAATTATGTTTAGTTAATTAATTAATTATGTTAAATTTGTTAAATTGATTGTATTAGAATAAAATTTTCAATTAATTGTAATTTTGGTAATTAAATGTAACATTTTTTATTAATTAAATTAATTTAATTGTTATTTTAAATTTAATTTGGTTAGGATTAGAATTAATTATGTTAATTTAATTTATGTTTAATTAATTAATTAATTAAGTTAAATTTGTTTAATTGGTTGCATTAGAATAAATTTTTCAATTAATTATAATTTTGATAATTAAATCTAAATTTTTTAATTAAGTTAATTTAATTGTTATTTTAAATTTAATTTGGTTAGAATTAGAATTAATTGATTTGATTTGATTTGATTTGATTTGATTTATGTTTAGTTAATTAATTAATTAGGTTAATTATGTTAAATTGGTTGTATTATAACTTTTTTTATAATAATACTTTTTAATTTATTTTTATTTTAAATTTAATTAGGCTAGAATTAGAATTAATTAGTTTGATTATTTTGTATATAGTTATTGAAGTGTGCCGAGGTACACCGTTGTGTATCGAACTTGAGGGGTTAGAGATTTTCCGGAATTGAGAAGAAATAAAGTTGGTTCAATCTCTGCGATGGAGATAGGATGAAGAGTTTGTGATTTAATTTTGATGAAGTATCCAAGATAATTATTACTCTCGGTGTACATAATGTTTATGTGATTATTTGGATTATTTGTTAATCGAGAAAAGTACAATTTAAATGTGACTCTACCAAAATTTTATTAGATGTTTAGAAAAATTATTAATTAAATAATTATTATTTAGAGCATTTGTTAATTGTACTTATTAAATTATATCATTTTATCTATTATGTATTTTTTTATGTTTGTTATGCCTTTTAGACGTATTGAATTTTGTTTGTTTTAATTCATAATAATTTATAATATATTTTTTATCAAATTCTTATTTATTTGTTAAATAGTTTTATGTGCTATTTTTGAGTCATGCCTCGTGGATTAGGCGGATCCGATCATGGTGTCAATGACCGTGACTCGATGTTAACTGCTTGCCTCATAATGGCAGTGTTAGTGTAGGTGCCTAAGATCCAACTATGTTTGGATAAATTTGAGTTATTGTATTATTTAATCATTTATTTTCTTGATAATAAAGAAGTCTTTTCGTTAATTATAATGCTTTATGTTTATTAATTCGGTTGAATTAGATAAAAGTCCTTATGATATGTATTTGCAATAGTGATTGATCGAAAGATGTGAGACAAACACTAATGCACATAAATGGTATCATTAAATGTCTCAAGTCGTAGCATTGTCAAGAATGAATATTGACTAGATGCGGTTAGAATTATAAGTGTTATGCTCATGTTATATGATAACGGTAGGAGATCTCATACCTATTGGCATGGTGATGCAAAGCAAGTACTTAGGTGAATTATGTTAGAGAATATATCACTAGACTTGACTCATCATGAGAACCCATTTGATTTATTTTATGGAAATCTCATACGAGATAGGTACAATTAGTCCTAAGATTTGAAGTCATCACGGTTATCTCATTGGAAGATTTATATACTTTAACAATCGTTTCAATGGACCCGATGAAAGGATTGCACGTGGGCAATTCATTGAGTGCACTAAGAAAATCTAATGGAGGCGGATAGATAACTAAAATAGGACATGTCATTCCTTATATGCTAAAAGACTTATCATATTCTATTTCGATGAATGTATGCTCAAGAAATCTATGGTCATAGTAGGAGTATACCAATAGAGCATAGTTGGTTTACTCTATGAGCTAAGACATTCGGGAATCGAAGAAAACTTTTGTGATCATAATCAATTAAGACTAATAACAAAGTTCGAGATCACACTCGTAATAAGTTGACGTGAGGACTCGAATTGTATGGTAACCATGCTCATGAAAGGTAATTACAAATTAATTAATCTTCCTAGAGAATTACGTAGTCATGATGCCTTACTAAAGGCGAATCTTGACTTATGTATCAAGAGATAAAAGCTAATTAAAGAGAAGCACGTATTGAGTCACACGTATAAATTTAAGCATTCATATGATTGAAAAGAAGCAAAGATGTTGAAAACAGTTTTCAATTATGAAAGTTTCCTATTTTGGAAATGGTTTTGAAAATAAAAAGTTTCCTAAAATGGAAAGTTTTCTAAAATGAAAAATTTTCTATTTTAGAAATTAGTTTTCTAATTTGGAAGTTAGTTCCAAATTTGAAAGTAAATAACCTAAAATGAAAATTAGTTTCCTAATTTAGGTTTAAAGGTATTTTGGGAAATTATTTTCTAATATATGCCACCTAAAATTATCTAACTTAATTTATTTAGATAGTCCAAATTAATTAATTGGGCTAAAATGGTTTTGGGCTAATAGGTTTAATTAAAAGCCTAAAAAATATTTTGGTGGGAGGATAAATATAAATATTATTAGATAAGGATGAATGTTTTAAAGATAAAGATCAAAAAGCTTACATG